GAGAAACGTCTGACTCTAAACCTGGAGTTTCACCGAACGTGTTAACGCTGCAGATTCTGCTAAGCACCCTGTTTCACTGGGAGCGTCAGAGCATAGCATCCTCAGACCCCCAGATTCCACATCCTCCGTCACCGCTATACATCAAACTTAAAAGTTTCCTCAAATCCAGTCACAGCAACTTCAAAAGAAACGTCCTTTTTCAGGCTGAGAAAGAGTTTGGATAAAATAGAACAAACCAATGTTGGATGAACTTAATTATCCTGATTACAAAGATCCATAATGAAAAGAAACGTGTGATTGATGCTGATGGTGAGTTTTAATGATGTCATATTAAATTAATCATTCATTGCCGAATGTTTTGCACTTATAAGTTAAATACTAATATGGCGCATGTGGGACGGAGCGGGGCGGGGCAGAGGTCACTGAGGATGTGGGTTCGGTGTTAGTAGGAGTTTACGTCCATCTTCTAATGAGGCATAAACAGACTCAGAGGGAAACACTGATTTCACAATAGATGTTTAAAAATCGATGATGCTTTAAATCTCTAACCTTCCTATTGAAGCACCTCTGCTGCTTCTCAGCTTCAGTTCACTGGTTTCTGTTGCTAATTTTAAAGATAGATTGAGAATAATTTGTCTTCAAGAGTCATTAATCGACCCCCCCCCACTCTGATGCATCCTCTGGTGGAAGTTGGTTTCTGACTAACGGAGACGTTGGAAGGGCAGCAGGAATAAGAGGAGCGAGACGCTGATGCTTGTCTGTTTGGGCCAATGGCAGCCAGATGATGACAGAACCTCAGGCAGCTCGTTCAACCGCCTCTATGTTGCTCCGCTCGCTGCAACATTGCTGCTTTACACAGATTTGCTGTTTGTACGTTTCTTTGAACAAACTCCTGTCACTTATTATTTTAAAGCTGCACACATGGCTCTCCTACGCTCTTCATCAAGTCTTCCACTAACGTTCCCAGCTGCACTTTCATTTACTTTAAATGCTGCTACTTTAGACCATCCAAACAGGGTTGCCAAGGGAACCGTCGGTGTTCTGTAGCCTATATCCTGCAGCTGATGGTTAGAATGTGCTGCATACCGATCCAGGGTCGCTATCCAATGCTAATTATTTCTAGCAATGCAGATGAAGATGAAACAGGCAGACAGGATCTGTGATAAAGCTTTAAAGAGCGGCGCTGTTCCTCAGCGTTACAGTAGACTGAGTGCCAGGCTGCTGTGGATGTGAAGCGAGTGCGTGGGTGAGAGGCACTGCTGATAATACTGCAGCTGGTCCTTTTCTCTTTTTATAGCCAAACTGCTCATTTGTGTCTCTTTGACGTCACACACATGCAGAGGAAGAAGGAGAAAGATATTTAGCTCAACAAATCTCCTCAGACTTTCTGTCAGGAATCGAATTCACCAGAAAAATGCTTCCAGGTTATGTTTCATAATAATTATAATAATTGAACTTTATTGATCTCATATGGGAGAAATTCCCTCTCTGCATCTAACCCCTCCCCTTGGGGAGCAGTGGGCTGCCATTGTGCGGCGCCCGGGGAGCAGGGTGGGGTCTTGCTCAGGGAGCCAGAGTGGCAGTCTGTGGGAATCGAACCGGGTACCTGCGACCTTCACAGAGCGCTGCTCTAACCACTAAGCCATCACCCCCCCATGGTTCCCATTGATATAAAACAGACTTCTATATTTATTTAAAAGATCTTTGACCTTTGACCTCAGTAGGTTTAAAGACTGAAATAATGAACCTCATTTCATTTTGGCTTAATGTTGTTAATTATATGTGATTATAGTTACATGACATAAAAGGGAATAAAGAATAATCCCTTCTTCCTCCCCCCTCGCGGGAGGGTCTCTCCCCCTTTTCCTCCCAGCGGGGGTCCTCTTCCAGAGCCCTGGGATCTTGAGGGTTCTGCCAGTATCTCTGCTGTTCCTAGAACTGAACTCTTCTGGACCGAGATGTCTGATGTATTTCCAGGGATCTGCTGTAACTCCTCTAGTTTGGGGGCCGCTGCCCTGAGGGCCCCCATGGCCACGGGTTCCACTGATGCTTTGACCTTCCAGGTTTCCTCCAGCTCTTCTCTGAGCTCCTGGTGTTTCTCTAGATTCTAATTTTTCCTTTTTCCTGATGTTGCAGTCACTTGGTATCGCTATGGCAACATAACAGCTTTCCTCTGCTTGTCCACCACCTTAATGTCCGGTTGGTTTGCCGTTACCATTCAGTCCGTCTGTATCTGGAAGTCCCTCAGGATCTTGGCTCGGTCATTCTCTACCGTCCCTGGAGGTGTTTCCCACGGTGACCGTGGGGTTTCCATCCATACTCTGCTCAGATGTTCCTGGATTCTGTTCCAGCCCCTTGGTCATGGCGCTCCATGTTAGCTTCCCCTGCCAGCATCTTATCTTCCACCCTGCAGTTCTGTGCTGGATTGTCTCAGGGCCTCTTTGGCCTCTGCATCTGGGGTCTAGTCTGGTGAGGTGGATCTGGGCCTCTATTGCTCTGGTGCTTAGGGCCTCCCATGATGAGTGCCTGTCCTTCAGCCCGGCCTTGTCCAGCCATTGGTAGGATTTCCTGATATATATATATATATATATATATATATATATATATATATATATATATATATATATATATATATATATATATTACTCCTGTCCCTGTTTATTGTATCAATTTATGTATGTATTTCCCATAGAACTAAACTGTAATTCAGTACTACAGGAAATTAATTAGGAGAAAGCTCCTACATCCAAAAACAATGATCCCCTTCCTCCTAACCCCTGGCCCAATATGTTCAGAATAGGACCGCTTTGCTCTGAATGGGGAGCCTTCTTCATCACCCCAGACGAAGTGCTTCCACTGCTCCAGAATCCAGTGGTAGAGAGCTTAAAGCCACTTTCTTTCAGAAGGAAAAAAAACAACCTTAAACAGAGAGGGGTGGGGGACTCAGGTTCCATCTTTCAAAAACCTTCAATGCAGCGATAGAGTTGATCCCTTCCCGCTATCATCGCAGCCCCAACCCTTTTACAGGAGAACAGAAGACCTCACCCATTCAGCCAGGCCAACTATCCCCTCTAACGACCCCCATTCCAAAGGGGGGGACCCGTTCATCCGTTTCTATTTGCATTTTTTCTAATCTTAAACCAGGCTTTGTTGGGCTGCTGGATAAAACCTGGAACTAAACGCTATTTCTGACATTTTG